CTACAACTGTAGCTTGCCTCCACCAGTGTGTGAATGTGAGAGTGAATGGGTGGATGACTGGACGTGTAAAGCGCTTTGGGGTCCCTAGGCGGGACTAGTAAAAGCGCTATACAAATACAGGCCATTTACCATTTACCATTCACACATGTGCCAAAATCAGGTGTTAACAGCACAAGTGAGCTACCAATGTGTAGCAAGTGTAAACAAATTAAATTGGTGGGAGGTTCTTCAGCTTTGAATGGCTCCTTAACTGCATAAAAGGTATTGATCGATGTTGTCATGATGAACTGTTGGACAGCTGATTCCTACCATTCTCCTTCTGGGTAACACTGAAATGATGTCTTTTATAGAGCTTCCTGATTGGCAGAGCTAACACAAATTTTTGACTTATTAAGTTGAAATCTTTTAGTTCTTTTCTTGAAAATTTTTAGCTTTTGACACAAACATTTTTTGAGTTATTCCGTCAAATTTTTTGAGATACCCTACTGAACATTTTAAGTTATGGATGGAAACATTTTTCTTTTTTCAGTGGCAAAAATGGGCATCCTTAGTTTCCAGTTTGCTTTTCACTGCCACACAACAAAGGCATTTAGACATCTGTGACTAAGGCTTAAATCTAAATTATAAGCTGTCATCTGTTTAATGTAAAAAAGAAGAAGACATTCGCTGGGCATCACATGTAGATCACTGGGAAAATTGCGTTTAGTGAGAATAAGTTAATTTTAACGTAGTTTGATACTTTTATTTAAGGTTTTTGGCACCACACTAAGCAGTTTTAATGAGTCAGAAAAACTGTAACAACAACAATATCATTATCATTACAGCTACAATCTTCTTTATCTCTACGTGTGCTACAAAATGAAATTCATGCCCTTTGATTGGTAACTTTGTCCATTTTGTCTAAATCAGATCCAAACTGAAGATTGAGGACATCAAAGAAGCCAACAAAGCTCTTCAGGTAATTCAGACAGTTTAATAAGAAAAAAAAAGGACCAGAAGAAGATGCAAAATCCCAGAATAAGTGTAGTTATCAAAGCTACTTTGGTTTGTGTGCTATTTAAGAACACAGGTTTGTTGTTTGTTTCAGGGGGGTCAGGTTTGGTTGAAGGACAAAGAAGCCACTCACTGCAAGCTCTGTGAGAAGGAGTTCTCCATCTCAAGAAGAAAGGTCTGTCTTAAGTTGACTTCAGATAGTTGCATTTGAACCGGGGTCGTATTCAGCACTGAATGATTTTGGATGGTTTGTGATTTTACACCCATTTTATCTAAAAGATCTTCAGGATCAGTCATGGTTTTAACCTCAGAAACCCCAAGAAATACTTAAAAGAATCATTGATCTTAATGGATGTAAAATGAATCCAGAAACATTTAAGTTGGTTTTACTCTCCGTCTCTTTCTACAGCACCACTGTAGGAACTGTGGGGAGATTTTCTGTAACAGCTGCTCTGACAACGAGCTTCCTCTGCCAGCGTCTCCCAAACCAGTGCGAGTCTGTGACACCTGCCACGCCCTCCTCCTGCAGCGATGCTCCTCCAATCCAACATGAAAGAGTGCTGCGCCGCTGCCGTGACGGCCTCAAAACAGTCACACTCATGAGTACCACCTCTTCAGTGTTGTATAAGATCCATATGCCGACTTATATCTACAGTGTTTGCTGCTAAGGGGTGGAGCACATGCATTTTATGATCCTTACACTTGATTTGTCATTTGTTTAAAGGAAGGAAAAAAAGAAAGAAAAGAGCGACATGTGCATCTGTCTAACTTGTCGATGTAGCTGCTTGACTCTGAATGCAGAACATCTGCAGAGAGTCTAAAATATCTTCCCTTGTAGTCAGACAGAGAAGAGTCTGCTGTAATATTAATAGTTATGACTGTCAGCCCCAAGTGTATATATATATATTAAGTCTCAATGAAAATAACGAAGAAACCATATTTAGTTTATGGTGCACAATCCAATGAGCAGGTAACCATTTGTCGTAACTGCTACTCCAAAAAATGGTCACTAAAGTAAAAGCTCAAACTCTAAGACTTCATGAAGCCCAGCCAGCAATCAGCAGGCTGGTTTTGGTAAAGTTCAGGGGGTATGAGTGTTTGGTTATGAAAGCAGAAACAGCTCTGCAGAGGTGGAAGTGAAACTGCACTATGATGAACACTCCTTGTAGCTAAAAGCAGACAGTTCTATGAACCAAACCTCTAATGCATCTGTTAGTCCTCAAAGTCTCCACAATAACTTTATAGTCAAACAGGTGAGATTTTAAAGTTTGCACATGCAGTATGGTGGCCTTGCTACGGCTGTCGGCTCGGACTCCTTTGCACCTTCTTTTAAGATGGATTTAAAAGAACTCAATTAAGAGTTAAAATGCCTCAGACAGCATTTAAGGAAGAAAAGAATTGTGCCACAAAACAACAACAAAAAATCACTTTCTGTCACCGTTGTAGCAGCAGGTGGTTGACAGACAAATCACCACAGAACGAAGATGGTCATGGCCTCATAAAATAGGCTAAAGGCCTCTTTTTATCTGAAGTACTGGAGTTATTTATTAAACCTGACTTTGACAGAGAACTAATGTTATGTCCTGACATGACATGTTGCACTTTGGGACCTTAGACTGTATATAAAAGATGGACTCACTAGTTAGCGAAGCCCTTATGTGAGCTGAGTGTTTCTCGTTTCTCATCTCGATGTTTGGGGGATGCCCCGTTTATACACACTGATTCTACAGGTTGGACTGAACAGGACTTGCTGCAGTCTTTTCCTGAACAATAGATGTCATCACTCAGGAGAAACCTCCACCTCAGCGCTGGTATAGAAGTAGAAGTAGTCTCATCTCATTGAGCTTGAGCACAAAAATGGAGGTGCACAACCAGCCGAAACGACACTAATGTGTGGCACACCCCAGCAGTTGTGATGTCACATTATGCGCAGAAGGGAAGGGATTAACCAGGTTTTTAAGTCACAAAGTAGGTCTACCTAAAAGGCATAAACTGCTTTTTTTTTTTTTTTTTTTTTTTTTTTGGGACATGGGGACAATAATATACAAATAAAAGATCATGTTGTATTTAATAAAATGTAACACTAGAGATTAAGACCACAATCTCATGAGGAACGTGTTTAACTTCATAGATGAGGGTGCTCAAGGGAAGAAATTCCAATAGATTTGTATAGTCTGACTTCTTTCTGAAAGCTCGCTGCTGGCCATTACAACACAAGACCCAGAAATTATCTCCATCTTTAATATACAGTCTATGTTGCTCAGCTTCAGTCACCGGGATCTCGTACTTCAGATGCTTTGGGTTCTTGGAAGATGCACAAGCAAAATTAGTTATGAACTCGTCATCCTGTATGCATTTAATGTTGAGACTCCTTTGCATAACCATTGGGAAAAATCTTAGGACTACATTTTTATAAATCCAGGAACATTTTTATAAATGGGATTTGTACGCAGTCACACTTCAGGCTAAATCTGCAGACTATTTACTGCTCCAGGCAGCTTGAGCTCTGCTGACACTAGTTTCCCGTGAGGATATGAAAAGCACTTGAACTTTTTTTTTTTGTGGTATTTGTGCCATATGTGCCTGTGTAAATGCAGTGATTACCTTCTTTTCACGTTGCCAAAATGAGTCCTATATTTCTACACTGAGGATCTAAAACGAGAGCCCAGAATATTTCAGAGTAGCAACACTAGCCAAGGGGGGAAAAAAAACATTAAAGGTACGTTTCACTGTTTTTGTGACACTAACGCAGTGGGTGCTGCTTTAAGGAACAAGAGGGGTCGATGCAGTCAGCTCCAGTTTGTGAGCTCAGTCGTTCTCAGTGTGGCTGGTTCATTTGTTTTTTGGAAATTGGAGAACATCGCGACTAAAGTTAGTTGTTGTAAACGCGAGTGTTACCTGCTTACAAAATATGTTTGAACACTTGCCAATCATACTGGGTGAAGTATAGATTTGAGTTTGTTTTATACACATTAATTTGTACTTTTATAAGCCTCAAAATTTTGAACTTTCCCCTGTTTACTTGAAGTTTGTTGCAATCAGATGTTAAAGAATCACTTTTTTTTTCTTTTTTTTTTTACTGCTGCTCCATTCGTGAGGGGAAGTTTAAACATTTTAAAATTGTGCATTTGTGTTGCCAAACTAGAGTTTTGAATGGAAGTTTGAAATATGAGTTCCAGTGCAGATTCTGGTTTTGTGCTTGCTAAGTTTACAAATTGATTTTTTTTTTTCCATTAAAGAACTGGATGTTGTAATTCCAGTGAAGAGACATAGACCGTGGATGATTTCAATAAGTGATAAAATTGTTGCAGATATCGTCTAAACATGTCATGAAGATCTATTGGCAAATATTTCCGAGCTGAACCCAGACTCGTCTTGTTTTTTGTCTTAAATGTCCCAGATTAATGTGGGACTTGTACAGTTGATACATATTAATGTTGTATATAAATATTGATTACCACTGTTGCCCTTTAGCTTACTTTGCAGTTTAAAATTAACTCTGTTGCCTACAGTCTGTCTTGACTGTTTCGCAGTTTCTGATTAAACACTCACAGAATGGGTTCCTGCTTCCTGTCGTTTTTTCCTAGCCGATTCAAGATTGAATCAGCTCCACAAAATGTGGACTCTTATTATTAATAACCTCAATATGGAGATTTTTACTCAAATAACATCAGAGTCAGAAAGACAATTAAATATAAAATTTATTAGGCAAAATGTACAACAGCTGCACAAGCTATCTTACAGCTCAAATATAGACTTTATTTTAATTCCACTCTTTGAGAGTGGATTATAATATTTCAACTTATTTTTTTAAATTCTGTAATGAACTGTGAAAACATTCATAAAAAACACACAGGCTCACATTTACAAAACATTCTCAACCAGAAAAGCTGATCTGAAGTCAAGGTCAAATGGATGTTATTATCTGAACACACTTCAATCAAGATGATTAAGACCCGCAACCTATGAAGACTTGCAACGAGATACCCAAACCAAAGCAATCCACCCACCCCTTACATATCAAACACCACAGCTGTTGCTCTGTGGGATGAAGCTCCTGCTGCACTGGAGAATTAAAAAAAAAAAAAAAGTGCATCCCACTAAAGTCGTCAAAAACTAATGCATTCAGATGTAACGCTCTTAATACCATTCCAAAAAATATAATTACAAAAGACAACATCTCTTTCTGCAATTTGTATCTTTTCTGTATTTGTGTGTATTCAGATAAACTGTACTACAATCTTCAATTTTAAGAAACATGAACCCTTTGACATGACCAGTTGACCACGTTCAGCACCTGTGACAGCTCCGGGATTTTTATCTCCGTGTAAGCCGTGTTGTTCTTCATATGCTTCTAGGAATAGTGTGAAAATAGTGCTCGTTGTGGTCATGTCTGTGTCTTACTTTTTTCATTCTGCCTTTTTTTAAAAAAAAAAAGAAAAGAAAAGAAAAAGGTGGAACTTTGCGTCAGCTTTCCTGCTTAGAAACACTCATTGATTAAATGCGGCCTTCAGAGACGTGACATGAACGCCAGGATGGACTGGAACTGTGGGATGACATCATCAGTATGTACCTCGCAGCCCGCTGCTCCGGGAGCTTCCTCCTCCTGAGTTACTATAGTAACCACCGCTGCCACGGCCTGAAAGGTTTTCAAAAAAGATAATTTGGTTTGAAAACGATCAAATTCATTCTCAAAACTATAAATGTATAATGAAACTGTATCAAGCTGAACAAAACACTGTTAAAACTCACTCATTTCAGCGGCACCGCTGGCTGTCGAGTTAAGAAACAGCTCGATGTAGCGATGTTCTGTGGAAAACCAACAACAGACGTTAATGTAAATGACATATGCATTTATCTGAAACCGATTAGTAAAGATAATCAAGCTGAAATATCTGCACGCCATGGAAAATGAGAGACTTGGTCTAAGCTCAATAGGAAGACTAACCTCCTTAAAATGTATTCCTATGTTAATTCTGCCTCACTGACATTTTTATTTAACTTTTTCCACTCTTCTTATTCTGCATCTCTGCTGTAAGTTGACAAGTATCTCTGAGTGAGAGTAATGGAAACACTGGCTTGAGGGGAGAAAAAAAAAAAAAAGCTAAATCATACGCATGTGGTTTTTGTCTTTGGACATGGCGGCCACGGCATCTTCATGGGAGCGAAACTCCACGTCTGCCTCTCCAGTTGACTTGCCGTTGGGAGCCATATCGATGTGGATCCTTAACGGGTTCAAAGGAGAGAAGAACTGTGAAAAATAAATAAAGGTTAATACAATTCTGGATATTTTAAGACATGAGCAGAAACCAGACATCTCAGATCTAAAGGACTGGACAGGTTGGGTTCCCACATAGATAATACATTTCCAACTTCTAACTTCAAAAATGAGAAAGTATGAAAACCCTCTCTCACATGTGACACACTCAACTGAATAATGCACTTTTCTGTCACCTAATAAAAATATTTTCAGTTAAATCCAGAGTTTGATATGCTTGATCCAGACATTAAGACAAATCATCAGATTAGTGTTTTCTTACTTTAGCGATGTCTCCTTCTGTGGCACGGAAAGGTAAACCCCTCATATGGACGAAATGACCACTATGAAAGCCTGAGCTGACATCACTCTGACCACTGTAACCATGGCTTCCCACTCCTAAGGGGCGGTGGTGGGGCAGAGAGAAAAACAAAACAGTAATTCAGTATTTCATATGTGTATAATATATATTTCTTATTGTGAAGAATATATTTCTTATATTCTTCACAAAGCAAATCCTAATTTCACTTATTGACATCAGCAGTTAGTGCAGTAGATAAAATTGCAGGGAAATCATTCACAGGCAGGCAGAAGTACCAGATACAGTTTCATGATTAGCCATTTGAAAACTCAAGATGGTGACCATTTTTAAGATGGCTGTTGAAAAAGGCAAGACAATCATTTTTGTCCTGAAAAAAAGAAAAAAAAGTAGACAAGCCTTTTGAATGATTTTAGTTTCAAATCATACAAGCTGGAACATGTAGAAGTCTGAAATTGCTCAGAAGTTATTTTCTATTTTAATCATGTGAAACAGGGGTGTGTGGTGTAGCAGTACAAGTGGTTTTTAAAAATATATCCTGGATAGACAAGTTACGTTCCTCACTGGTTACTCGGTTTGCAACTGTGGGCCCCAAAAATCTTGTTTTCAGTTTTTAGATTCAGAGAGGGTTGGTCAACTATTCAGAAGCTTGGCAGTGCAGGAATCCCCAGTTCCTTCATCCGTATGTTAAAATGTCCTTGGGCAACTTACTAAACATCCAAGTATTGTTTTTATTAACAAATGTTTTGTGCAGATAAAGTACATGTTTGAGAAAAATAAAATGCATTTAACCAAATGTAATCACCAAATATCAGAAAATATTTCAGCCTTTCAGCAAGGGCACTAAACTCCAAATACACAACTCTGAAAGGCAAATAAAATCTGAACTTTACCTCTTCCTCCCCTCTCTCCTCTCACTCGCTCGTCAAACATGCCGTTGCCAAAACAGTAGTTGTTGAACCCGTTGTAGTTGTCAAAGTTACTGTAACCTGGACACAGTAACACAGCAAAGACAATCTGCAGTTCACCGCTCACAGATACACTACAGGTGAAACAAGGCTCTTTACACCAGCAGAATGAGAGAGAACTGAATACAATTTATTCTGAATATAACTGAAGGTCCTTTTCTACAGGTTCAGACAAAAACTGCTTACCTCCTCCGTAACCACCTCCACTCCTCATATTATCCATCATGGCGGCACCACGGCCAGGAGAAGGACCAAAAAACCCTCCTCTGGGGCCGCTCATCATTGGTCTATCATAAGGCCCTGGTCTCTGGGCTCCCATTCCCCGCCGGGGCACCTCATAGTAGGCTCTGATTTCATTACGACTGCTCTTAAAAATCTCTATGTACCTGAAATATGAGGTACATAGAGATACGCAGGATAAAAAAACAAGAGGCAGAGGAGAGGGTTAAGGTGTTGAAGTGGCTCAATTAAGGTTACAAACATAGATATAATTTACAGAGAGAAGATAAAGACACAAAAGTAGAAATATTCTAATCAGTGGTCTGAATGATTGACCTCAAAATCTCACTAGCTGGGCTTAAGGCTGAAGTAAAGGATTTCTACACCAACCTCACCACTGTTACTTACAGCCAAGGAAATCATTACAGGGCTTTTAGGTGCTTTATTGTTTCTCTGCTTTAATGGTTGAACCTGTGCTGGCTGTTTGTTTTAATTCTATACTTATACCCCCCACCCATAATAAATTATCTACATAAATCAACGAAGGTCATAAAATAAGGACCAATGAATCATTTATTAAACCCAAATGTTTCTGTAAGGCAATTAAATAGAGCTCCCACATCTTAAATGAACACGGGAAAATTGTCTATGACAAAAATAACACACCAGCCTTTATTTGAAAAAACAGACAGACCATCCCAATATTTCACATTTAATTACAATATATAAACCAATTAAGCTTATTAGCATAAAAATAAATATAACATGATCCACCCATTATTAATTACCATTTTATCAGTTTTACCAAAAAAAATAAAATCACACTAGCACATCCACCCATGCTTATATTCAGACCCCAACCCAATAATACCACAATTATTCTAATATCACCACCCATTAAATGCTGTTAACAGAAGCCCAACCCAGTCCAGCCCGTCCCTTTCCCATCTGTCCCACCTGTGCCCTATTCTTTCCTTGTGTTTCCCCAGAGCCTTTTCTGCTATCTCCTTTGAGGCAAACTGCACGAAGGCTTCCCCTGTGCTCCTCCCCTGGTAGTCCACTGGCAGAGTTATCCCATTTGGCACGATTCTCAACCCTTTAACCCAAGCACACAAATACATAGGTCGGTAGGTAGACTGATAGAATTGATTGTACAACACCCACTACATCAGTGGAGCTTTAAGGATTAATGGGTCATTAAAGCAAATAAACAACAGCTGTATTATCTCATACTACTTAAAATAGGAGCATCTCAGGGGACCGACTTTACACTTGCTGCTCAGCAGTGGAACAGAAAAAAAAAAAAAAAACTGCCCTGGAGTCAGTCAGCATACAAGCCACTGTATGTTCACCTTTGTTTTGTTTTTGGGTTTTTTTTGTTGTTTTTTAAAAAAAATTACAGAGTGTATGCCAAATTATATTTTTTTCAGATAAAGCATATTAGTATCCATCTATATTAATCATTAATGTAATGCCAGTGTCATTAATACTGACCCCAGATCAGTTTTATGGGATTGTCTTCCCTCAGCCAAAACAGCCCAGCTCATTCTATTATTAAATACTTTAGGAGCTATGGCATCTTAAGTCATACAAATGTGCTAAATAATGGACTAAGAGAACACCAACATCATTGCTGTACTACTAACAATTCGGACAAGGACAAATTAGTAAGCACAGCATGACTAATCTGCAAGAACAAACGCACATTAGAACACGCAGACATGTTTAATAACTTAGTCACAGTTAATCATGTTAAGTTTGATAACCTGTCAATCTACTCTGAAGGTTAGCGTATGCCTATGGATTGCAATGGAGTTTAGTGGCAAAAGTGAAAAGCACTGTTCAAAGTGAAGTTGGCAGTATTTGGATTTCTTTTTTTCTTTTTTTTTTCTTTTTAAATGATCCACATCACATTTCCTAATATAGCCCTGTTTATAGAGAAGATTGTGTGAAGTTGACAGCTCTATTTTTTATTTTTTTAAAAAATACTTGTCTTTTTATAGCCTTTTAAAATATTCTGTACAAGGTCTATATTGCAATGAAGCGACAAAGGGCTTTCTTAAGTGTTTGTCTTCAATTTAATTTATGGTTGTATCTCATTTGACAGCTACGGTGTTCTGAATAACAATAAAAAACAAAACAAACTACAGCACTGAAAAACTATCCTTGAGACTAAAATATCTACTGTAACATCAATACAACTTTATGTAGTATTTACGCAAAAGTCTCAGTGTTCATGTACCTGAGAAAAACTGAACAATCTCCTCCTTACTGCAGCCAAAGGGCAGGCCTCTAAGTCTCAGCATGCAGCCACTGCAGCTGTCATAGTCAGCAGGACCGCTACGCTTCAGCACCCAGTCCATCTCACTACGGTTCGACTTGAACACTGATTTGGACAGACAGACAGAGACAGACTCACAAACATCACATGCTGGTCATAAATTAAACTTAAACATGTTCATCACAGTTTTCTTAAAGACTTCACATGCAAATGAGGAACCCAATATAACTGAATAACTGCTGCTTGAACCATTGGTGATACAAAGAAAAAAAAAACCTTTATGCACCAGACGCGTAAAATGTAAATATTTCTTGCATTAAAAATATTCTTCTGTCTCACCTTTTCTTAACACAGCAGTTCACACTGACCGCATAATTTCAGTTGACGAATTTGGGGCATTTGCTTTTATTTTGAACCAATCAGATCACTGCATCTGGCAGCAAGTGTGCCTGTAACTCAGATTGCACACTGGGACTGAATACACAATGAGATAGAAGTGGTAAAATAATACCATTTTACCTCAGACGCACAGCTAAACAGTGACGCCTCTCTAGAATGATTGATACCTCCTTATATGTGTTGCCAACTCTGCTAATAATAGTTCAAATTGCCCCACTGACATTGTGAAATGTGTACGAAAGCAGCTGTGATACAGCTTTAACTCCTGGATCACATTGCAAAATTCAACGTGTTCAGTGTGTAGTGTTCTTAACATTCAAATCTGTTGCTCAGTTTTAACCAGTTTGCTTACCTTCTATATATCGGTGCCCCATGTATTTACGGTCCTTCGCAAGAGCATTCTTGAAATCTTCTGCTGTTTTCAGCTCAATAAATGCCTCTCCACTCGGACGGCCTTCTTTTGAGTATGTGAAACACACTCCATTTACTTTTCCCGCGATGTCACAGTCTAAACATAAGAGAGATTGCGTCAAGTTTTTAAACTGATGTCTTCTACTAGAGAAGAGGTAATGGTAGGGAACCATTGCAAAAAGATTTAAAAAAAATTAAACATCCAAGTTCAGGCACTCAAGGTAAGTTTGGATAAGTAATAAACAACCTTTACATTATTGTCCTAAAAATCATCTTTTAAGCTTGGATGTTTTATCCAATTCTTTGGTCATAATTTCCATTTTTCTTGATACCCTTGGGTCTTTGATATTGCTACTGAAATTTGAATAGTGTGGCATATAACAAAAACAGAGATGTGCTACAAAAGACTTGTGCATGCAAACTTGAATGCCATGCTAATCGATTTAACTAGTCTAATGACAATTTCAACACTAACAGCTAAGGTCTTGTCTGAGGATGTAAAGACGTCTGTTTCCTCACCAGAAAAGAAACTGGCCACCTCCTCCTGTGTGCAGGACCAGGGAAGTCCTCTGATCCGAACCACGTACCCCTCATCATTCAAAGACATCCTCACTGTCACAGACGGCACAACACAGCAGAAAGACATTTGTGTCAGCAACACTTACTTAGTTATGAATTCTTAAGTTTAATAATCCATTTATTACAAAATTGATATTTTGCATTGAAGCTGACCCCACAGTGTTATGATTAACATTCATTTGCCAAAAAAAAAAAAGTTACTGGCTCTATTCCAGTCAGATGCGTCAGTAAGGGTGTGTAGTTTTCCAGCGTGAAACAGTTCCCCCCCTCCCCCCAAAAAAAGAAAAAATCAAATGGGTGGCACTGCCTGCTGTGGCAACTCCTTGTGGCAAGAAAGCAGCTCATATTAGCTTTATTTTTGCATTGAAGACGAGTAGATATTCATTTCCATGTGTTGTCATTTGTTGTTCTTAGAAAATAGGGATCGGCAGGTCAGACTTCAAAAACAAATCTGAATTGGCCGAGAAAAATCATATTTAGTGTATCTCTAAACATTATGCTTCTAGTCTTGCTGACCAACAAGCGTGGGTCACTATGTGGAGTCCTGTGCCAGATCTATATAAAGGACCAAAAGTATTCTGGTCATTTGCTCTGGGGGTACTGGACACTGAACAAACTTAAAAAAAAATTGTTATGAATTACTATTTGCTATTACTATTTTTCTTTGCATTCTGGTCTGCATTTTAATAATGTGTGCATTCACTGTTAATGATAATGAAGTGGAAAGTTTTTAATGCTTCTGGCTTGCAAACAGTACTTGACCATTCATCTTCTCCTGCTTCTCTGGAGCCAGATCGTGAGGTCAACAGCCTAAGCAGAGAAACCCAGACCTCCCTCTCCCCAGGCACCTCCTATAGCTCATTCAGGAGAACACCAAGGCACTCCAAAGTGTCCTGGGAATACCTAGGGCTTTCTTCCAGTAGGACATGCCCAGAACACCTCGCCCAGGAGGCATCCAAATCAGATGCCTGAGCTATTCAAACTGGCTCCTTTCAATGTGCAGGAGTAGTGGCTCTATTCTGAATGCCTGTGGCTTGGCTGAAGTCCTCACCCCATATTAAAGAGAGAGGCTAGCGACTCTTAGGAGAAAACTAATTTCCGCCATTTGTATCTGTGATCTCATTCTTTCAGCCACAACCCAGAGCTTGTAACCATAGGTGAGGGTAAGGACGTATATCAATCGGTAAATTGACAGCTTTGCTTTCACGTTCAGGTCTCTCTTTATCACAAAAATCCGGTTCAGCACCTGCATCACTGCAAAAAAAAAAAAAAAGCCTCAGTCCGACAGCCAATCCCTTTCTGCCCTCACTTGTGAGCAAGATCCTGAGATAGCCAACATCCCCGTGTGTGCTTTACACACAAAATGAATTTTAAAAAGAATTTAAAAACAAAGTTAGGCTGCACTAACAATCCCTCATTGTTAAGTGTGGGCATGATGGCCTTAACTTTAATCTGGTGAATAAAAGCTGAAGGAATAATTAATTTAAAGGAATATGGCTTATTAAACATAAATAAGATCACTCGAGTTGTTGCCGAATCTTCCCCTTCAATCCTATTTTTGTCAACCGATTTGCAAGAGCAACAGGTTTGGCAAAAGTTAACACTGAGATTAAATGTTTCCTGGTGCATCTATCCGAATAGTTTGCATTCAGCTCATATTTTAACATTTATGGGTATGTCGACGCAGTGACAGACTAGACTCTTTTTTTACTCTTAAATTCAGATTAAACTGACAACAAACCTCGCCGGAACTGTACAATAAAACAAAGTAAATAACTATTAGTAGCATATGACACAAAAAGCTTTCAAAGAACATATCTAATAACGACTTTCTGTATTTTTGCAGCGGCCAGAACAGCTTAAAAAAAAGCTATGGTCTGATACTTCCTCCTTCCAGCTGTTTATGTGTTGTGCTAAAAATTCGAGAGCCGCGCTAGCTAACCTAGTCGAAGTTCAACTTATACCCAACTTGATCCTTTAAACGCAAGACGGCATCTTAATAAAAAGTTATCCAAATCTGAGTATCCATCAGTCTAATATTCATACAAGTTATATGTTTCTCGTAAGCCAGACTTACGCGAAAACGTTAGCTCTTCAACATTAGCATTTAGCAGACTAGCCGCTAAGGCTAACTGTAGGACACAGACAGCGGTCAAACGTACAGGACAAACGAATTCTCGTTTTAACGGCCCTGCGTCTTCACTGGATGTCAAAACACAACCCCATAAAGAAACACATCCACCGTTAGCAATGAGTGAACCGCTAAAATTATCTCACCGCTTCCTCTTATCCCCGGTCTCCTGCTCCTACCCCGTGCCTCAGGTGACACTGCCAGCAAACTTGCACAGGTATGTTCTCGCGAGATTTCGGTTTATAAACGTTAATTTATTCTAGCGTCTTTTTTTTTCTGTTACTAGTCCGTGTTTTCCAAATTGCTTATTGATATGACGCTTGTGTTTACGACTCCGAAGAGAGCTGGTATCTGGGACATGTAATAAAAATAATTAATTTACCAAATATTCAGCGTGCCCGTTATTGTAAACTCAAAATCTAGATTATGCGTTTAAGACTAAACTATCGTCAGGGTAGTCGGATTTTTTGTGTGTCTATAATCATAAATTAATCACTCTCTCTAAATATTGTAAGACTAGTCATGCATATTCTGGCTATCTATACAATACAAAACAGTATTTATCGCATTAAAATGTTATTTTTAGATTGTCAAATAACCACAGTTAAGTGACTATCTTAAGGGGTAAAGTTTGTAGTCTTAAACACATACTCATTCTACTACAGTCGCAAACCGGTTATGTCTAAATGTGACTAAAACAAGTGGAAAATAGATAGGCTGCAGGGAGAGAGAAAAAACACATGCAGAGGGAGGGTCAAAAGTCCATCCACAGCACTCCGTGTGGACCCTTTCCATCAAAATCCGTGCTGAAGGAAGGAGGCTTAACTTCCAAGCCATTTTCGTCTTCTTTCGCTCACCTACAATGGAGATACCAGTGTTCACGCTGGATGCCTTCACCAATTTACCGTTCAAGGGAAACCCAGCGGCAGTTTGTCCACTTCAGCGTGTGAGTAAGAATATTTAGGTGAAAGCTTAATGTATAGTCCTGCGCTATGGCGGCCTGCATCGGTGCTTCGCACAAGTGCAGACCAGAAGCAGAAATTCTTTCTGCAAAACAAACTCGACAAGATGTGTTTTTAAAGGTATTTTAACTCAAACAATCTTTTGTAAATTCAACCATGAAAATGAAAGTGGTTTGTTGCGTTCCCCTGAAAACTTTGCTATCACACAAGAACTGAACAAGACACATCAGCCTGCTGCTTCCAATTAACTTATTTAGTTGTTTATTCATTTTCAGTGAGCAAACTTCCTCTGTTTGTCTGCCAGAAGCTTACAATCATTAGCTGGTCAAAGCAGCTCAGGACACTATCATTTGCTCGTCAAATCGTGTGTTTCTAACAGGAGCTGAGTGATGACTTGTATCACAAGATAGCAGCAGAGATGAACCTCTCAGAAACTGCTTTCATCACCAGGACGAATCCCTCTGATAGCTTTACTACAGGTATGTCTGTTTTAATACAGATCACTTTTGCCTTGCCAATTCAAAAGCCTCTTAGATTATATTGCTGTAATGGAAAGCTCTCTTTCAAAAGTGTACAGTATGGTGTATGGCTCACATGCTGCTTAAACTTTAAAGTAGCCCCTATAGGTGCAGGATAGAAATTTTCAATATAGATTAACAAGTTTGTATGAATTTATAGTCATAAAATGGGAATGAATGATAATAATAAAGCTTATGTATATAATAGTTGCAAAATGGTTTTCAGAAAAAAAACAGACTGAAATAAAACAACAAAAAATAAAAACACGACACAAAACTTTAATAATATGACAAGTGAAATAAATGAGTCAAGGAAATTGTATGATAGGAAAAAAAGGAGTCACTATTTTTAAAAAAAAAAAGTTGTGAGGAGTGATGAAGAATTTGCACAGCTGTGAGGCTCTAAGAGAAAATGCCAGATCTCTTTTTGTAAAGATGTGAGCAGCAGGAACAGTTAGGAAGGTCTGAATCAAGGCCGTGGCTCTGTTAACCAGGTGAGTGAAGTCATGTAAGGCTGTTCAAACAATAAAGCAAAGTTTAAAATCAATTCTATATTGAATAAGTCTAATGTAGTGGGAGTAATGTGATCTTCGCTCTTCTAGTCTCAGGCAGCTAAAGTTTGAACAAGGCAGATAAGGACAGGGACTTTTGGCTGAGCCTTCCATAGAGGGAATTAAAATAGTCCAAATGTGATGAGGAAAAAAGCCTGGATCAGTCTGCCTGAGATTACAAACAAAAGTGAAAAAAGTTTATCCGTAAAAAGGACAAATCTACTCAATGAAAGCAAACTGCCCTTCACTGAGATAGCAGGTATTAGGATAAAAATTTAGCAAGAAATTCAGTTTTCAGGTTACTATTGAGGACATAAATATCTGCTAGTGACCAAAGGAAGATGTGACACTGTCACACAATTAAAACTTTGAAGTTTTGCCACAGAGAACAGACATTTAAGGATCAAAATACAGTTAAATTAGAGAAAAATATATTCAAATCACCACAAAGTCTATTTCATGGCACTTTGTACCTATTGGGAAATATCAATTACAAATTTTGGATTGCATAAGAGCATCACAAAAGGTTAGCCTTCAGCAAAATTAAACTAGTGCCATTAGGCAGAATTAAGGACCCACAACCATTAGCAGGTGCTCATTATTTTTCCAAGTTAGGTTTATCTGTTCATTAGCTTATGTTTAGAGATCCTTTGCAGTTAGTTCCACACCTTGGCTCAGGCGATTAGAGGATCATCAGGGGGTCCTTTTGTCCCTCTGTGGGGGGACACTCCCACTAGGGTTATATCTGGGACTCTCCACCATTTGACCTTAGAACTGAAGAAGCCTCTCGGATGAGAGGTGAAACGTCTTCAAGTAACTTAAAGAAGTCCAGACGCTTTTCTTTGCAAGCTCCTTTGACTACGATGACCTGGATGACTGAGAACCTTCACAGACATTTTGCAGTTAAACACACACAGAGCTGCATTTTACTCACTGTGTGCACAAACTGAAAAACACCTGTCCTCAGCAGTCTGTCAGGTAACAATGTTACATTGTATGGAGTCCAAAGAATTGTGCAACAAGCTGTCACAGTGAAAAATGCAGTGTGCAGTCGGTCCAAGAGGAATGCAGGTAATATTTACAAAGAGGAAGCAGGAACAGATACAATAAGTTTTTCTTCAGACTTAAAAATGTGACTTTTGAAAAATACTCAAAAATAAATTATATTTTCTGAGAAAGGAGATAAAAACAACTGGTTAGAGGGAATTACAATAGTCCAAATGTAATAAGATGAAAGCATGTATGACTTTTTAAAGTGCGCCTGTTATTTAAATTAAATAAGTAAAAAGTAAACCCAAACCATGGCAGTAAGGGTTCAGTATTCTTCTTGTAATTTGCCAAAAATATCATCTGACATTTGCAGTTCTCTGCTGACACACAGATGTTTTCTAGAGCCATCTCCCACATTTTTTCCTCATCTCCCACAATTTAATTACTTCCAGCTATGAGCAGATTCTCTATGTCCCCTTTTGACTCCACTGACAGAGTCCAACACCACAAGCATGCTCAAAAATGAATAATCACAGCATTCTGTATGTTTGCTTTTAGTTTACTTTGCTACTTTTTCAGTGTGAAAACTACAAACAAGAAATACTCAGAGCACAAACCTCGGCGTAGACTGCTCACTCTCTGGGCAGTATTTACTTTAATAGCATTGTATTTTGTATATATCCCTTTATAATTGGTATTGATTTGGAAATAAATGGACATTAATAAGCTTTTTATATATTATACTATTGACATTGAAGAAAAGGTCAGAGGTCCTAAGAAATGTGGCATTTATAAACCTCATGTATCTTTCCCTATATGCCTGCATGTTGACAGTTCAATGGCAGTAAGAAACATAGTTTTAAGTAGCTCTATATAGCATTATTGTAATGTTTAGATGTCTTGACCTTGAAGGGGAGGTCATAGGTCAAATGTGACGTTTTAAATCTTTACAGTACTTTTATATATGTTGACAACACACCACACCTTTAAGAATGATGGTTACTAAATTATAAGTCTTTTAGTCAATCTTTAACCAATTGTTGACCGTGAAGACCTTTGTGGATGTAAGCCAATTACCACCATCATTATCTACACTGCCTAACTTTGTGTATTTGAAACTAAAACCAAAACAAAATTGAAAAAAA